CGAGAGAGTCATCAAAATAGATTTTCCCTTTCGTGGAAAGGAAGAATCTATTTTAATTCTACACAATTTTTAAAATATGCTAGAAGAGAAAAAAATATTGTAGAATAAATCAGAACAAATAAATATAAAAACCTTGTATAACGTAAACAAAATAATTCTTAAGGATCTTTAAGAATTTAACTGCAGTTCACAGCAGTAAAATAATAAATCCTAGACCAAAAAATAATAATTGAGCTATGACGTCATGTATCCCGGCACATACTGCCTATAAATCGAGACCATATTCTAAGCAAGATTTAATATCGCTATAAAATAAAACTGTGCGCCACATGCGCAGACTCGTGTATGTAGGAGGTCGGTAAAAGCACAGTTTACTAAATACAGTTGGGAAAAAGATTAAGATGCGATCAACCAACAATAAGTAAATGATGCTCTGCGATTTAATTTATGTTTCGTGGCAATAAGAAATTTAAACTGTGACATAAGATCCGAAAAATGTTTTTGGTTGCTAATTTTTATGGATTTAATTTGTAAAGACCCATATGAAATTATATAAGTATGTACAAATATATGATAAGATATTAAAATTCAATCTTAGCATAGACAACTACGTATTACAATCTGTCATCGCATACAATTTATATATCCGTACCCACACATATTTTTTTGCCAAGTGTAACTTTATTAACTGTAACCAATGCCAAACATGTGTTTTCTATTATAGAAATGCCCCTTGCCTTAGATTCATCCTATAAACCAAAACTCTATAACAAAAGACTCCACATGAATTCAAGGCGAGGCATGTTTGTTATTTAGAATGCGATATGAATATTTTGAGGTTGTTTTTTGGCAACAGTTATTATTGTAATAAAAAAATATTCCAGTTTTCTTTCTTACTCGTATGCCTTTATTATAGTGTAAGCCCGATATAATTTTAGGGACCGCAGGATCCTGTCTTAATTTTAATCTCATTAATGAGGCATTAAATCGTCGCCCACAAACTTCCGTCAACGTGTCCGAGGAAGTTGTGTGGATTGGGGTCTAATTACGTTTTAATATCTTCATTAACCTTTCGTGTGTATCAATCGCATTTACCGCACTTTTCTAACAAGCAAACTAGTCTACATCACATCTTGTTAAGAAGTTTAGAGGTAGCCTAATAATTATCCTCCTCTGTCTTAAACAAACTTTATTAAATACTGTCTATAGTTTACGCGAGTAGCACACATTTAAATAAAACACTTTAACGGTTTAAAACGCGATATATTAGTTAAACTTATTTGAAAAAATTTTTTTTTCATCAAAAATAATTTTCAAATAAGGTTTTATTCAAACTTGATTAATTAAAAATTACAAGATGTATTCGTTACAATACTTATATACAATTTAAGTTGTAAATTCTTTTAAAAAACCTCATGTTTGCCTCGAGAAGCATGTAACTACTAACTGTTTGCCCTTTCGACTAATTAGGCTATCATGGAAATTGTAAATGATTAATTTATTTATTGGGGTTATAATTCGCCTTTGCTCGTTTTAACCATACCTTTTTAAATGCAGCGAAAAGTAAAATTCACATAGTATTTTTGTAAGAACGAAGCCTAACGTGGCTTCATTTATTCAAACCAAACACCGTATCGAATCTGTTCGAGAATAAACTAACATTCGGGATAAAAATTTCAATTTTCCACGAACTATCGACAAAGAAACAATGCAGAAGAGCAAATAGAAGCCGAAAATAGAATAAAACGGCGTTCTATTGTCGAATTTGTGTAACTGCTTTAGAGGGAATGTCAAACTGTTCTAACCGTCGAAATTTCGGTTCCTGCGCCGGCTTCAATAAAGCGAGATATTTATACGCAACAGTTGTCGCGTTGACGCACACTTACGGAAGGGTTGAGAAATCGATCGGTCGATAAGATCCCTGAATACAAATAGTTCACTGGTAACGAGCCCGCAGCGGCCGTTGGACATATTCATTGTTAGCGCCAGCGAAAGCTAATGGCGTTTGATTAATCTACTTCACATTCAAATAAGACAAGAACCGGTGTCTCGAGTAATTATAGATGCAATCGTTTTTAAAACAACAAAGCTTTTTACAGGGTAACTTGGACCTGACGACTGTTATATGGCTGTCGCTGTAAGGTTACTCCATTCTAAGACATTATATTATGTAAAATTCAATTGAAAAATCAAAATTAGCAAAGTAAAAAATTATATAAAAAAATTAATTCATAATTAAAAAAATATATATAAATGTTATAAGCATTAATAATGAGTAATTAAATTTGTCAATACTTTGTAATATTAAAATAAATGAACGTGCTATCTAAAAAGTCATATGTCAGCTTACTGCAATAACGGTTGACGGCAAAACTCGTTTCTCAAAATGTTGCTGAGTGTATTTGACAGTTAACTCTTTTGATTCGACACATAAGTATACAATAATATTAAAATAAAAATGGCCGTAACCCGTTCGCGGCACAATGGAATAGTGCGAATAGACGATAAAAACATTTTGCATCGAAAATACTCGCCCGGGGCGATTCGGTCCTCGCTAACGCGCTATGATGGGCTCGTGGCGGAAAAAATGACCGCTTTCGGCTGATAGCCGCCGGTTAATCGCTCGGCAAACATTCGAGTGCGCAAAATCATACACTATTTTATCACTATACTTAGTTTTTAATAAATCGTATAATTTTAAATTAGTGTGTAAGCACACGGCTAGATAAGGCACTGACTCCTTACTAACACTGTGTATATATATATTATTAGTAATTAAAAAAAGCTCAAAAATTTAAATAAAACACGATATATTAGTTAAACTTATTTGAAACGTCGGGCCGAAGTGAAAAATCATTTTCAAATAAGTTTAACTAATATATCGCGTTTTAAACCGTTACAAGTATTTTATTTAAATGTAAAGCTTAAATACTGCCTATTCGCGTAAACTATAGAGTATAGACAGTATTTAAGCTCAAGAATATAAATGTTTAACATGAAATGAAACGAACCATTGAACGAGACAGCTGAGTCTAACAGCATAAAAATCGTATACTTGCATTTCACGGTCGATAAAAAGTCCATAAGCTTTAGGTGCTTCTGGGGTGAGGTGTTGTATTGAAATTCTGTTTTTGTTCAATAACTCGAATGTGAAACCCTTTTTGGGGGCTCGTGTTACTTACATTGTTATACTCAAATTGACTGTAACTGCATGAGATTAATCGAATACCCAGCCATAATGTTGCGTGTTAGTTTTAATCCCATTTTGTTATTTCAATCACTGTTTGTTGAGTTATACCAATCCTTTGCCGGAGGCAAACTTAAAGAACTCATACAAACACATAATGTGAGCGCGAAGTTATTTTGCGTTACGATATTTTTAAAGACATCTTGTTACCTAAACCTACTCACACTATTGTCCAGTTCCAAGGGCAAGGATTTTATACGTGTAATGTGTGAAAGCCCGTTTTCCCCTCGTGTGGCATGGGGCGAACACATTTCTAACTGTGTTAGTTTTATTGATCCGTTCTTTTAACGGGCAAGTAGTTGACGAGACTTCTGTGCCCCGCCCGACCGAAATATATATTTTTTTTGTTTCCCTGGGATTCGAACCCAGGACCTCTCGCGCTCATCGCAATCTAACCATTTGGCTACAGAGGCGGTTAGTGTAATGTAGGTAACATTAAAGGAAATTCGAAAATATTGACATAAGTAATAATTAGTAGTCAGTCTTTGAATGTTAGCAGACATTTGGCGACCATGCTTTAAATATCTTGATGCTAATGTTGATAAACTCTTGAAAGCTCAAATGCATATTAAGGTATAAGAATACACAGTGCCCGTAGATGAAAATCTTTCTATGATCAAAAAGGCCATTTATCATAGCGCCGATAACATTAATTTTTCAGATCATTATTTTGGAATCAAAAAGTACTTGGATATTAATCACCGGGAAAGCAAAACAAACAACATACTAAAGATCATAATTTGCCCTAGGCCGACACACAGAAGCGATTAGAGGTTTCGGTCCAATATACCGTAACATTCCATGAAGAGTATAACATTATCATCAAGAAGAAAATGTTTCTTTGAAATATTGTTTACCATACACCCAAACAAATATCGTGTTCTTAGTCTACGATCACAGTGCGTTACGGAGCATTGGGTAGATACCTTAAAAGATAATACGGCTGCAATTATCTTACGTCAGTAATGACACCAAATGGATAAATTGAAACAAACGCTACTATTACATTATAAACACGGAACGTTACACGATCAATTTGATTTAACGAGGGAACAAATTCGTGAGAAAGTATTTGAGTGACCCCACCGTGCTTGCCCGCTAGAGGGCAAAACTAATGAGCTAACTAAAATCGTTTCTTATCAAGATAAAGAACTAAATGTATAAAAAAGTAATTCACTTAGTGTATACTCAAAAACATAATTAATTTGTTGCGAATTGAATAATAGGTGAATGTTATTTATTTGTTTATTCAATATACAACAGATTAAAACATACATAATTTATGAATATAATATTATATTATTTATTACAAGTAATCTTGTGATAAGTTGATAAAAAATATTATACGCCCTTCAGTAGAGAAATAATTTAACTTTATAAAAATGCTGGCAAATAAATTTGAAGAGGTAAAATTATACTTGTTACTTCAAGGATGTTACATACATATAATGTATAGAAGATTTTTATGAAAGGGGTACCGATAAAAAAAATATGCCGTCTACGTAAAAAAACCACTTGATTCAGCAGTCAAACGACGCGCACAACATCTGCAAAAAGATATCTCATTTCGCGATATCTTTGATAAAAAGTGCCGAAAAGCGAGTGCCCTTACGCAGGAGTCTATTCAAGCCTTTGTTGGAGACATTTGATTAAAAGTGCGCCGCAATCAGATGCCAGAAGGGGTTCGGAGGCGGAAGTATCGCGTTTACAAACGGAGACCCGATCGCACTGTGAATTGGCTCCACTGAAAGAACTAGGAGGCAATCTTCCCGGATACGATGAGCCAATGTTCACTTGCCGCCGGTAAGGTGACACCAGCACAAGTGGGATGCTCTGGCGACACCCCGACAGCTAGAAAAGCAATGAAGTTTATAAGAACTTTTATCGGCACCTATAAGCGTGAGAATACATCCTACTTAACTAATAATATAACAAGGCGGTCTAAGTGGGGAATAATATTGACATTGATCATTAGACATCTTTTAAATTAAACACTATTTAACTAACGTGGACAGTCTCCCCGAGACCCATGGCCGTAGTTATATTATTATTGAATTGTAAATAAGTTAACTAATATATGTCGCATTTAAAACGGTTAAAAAGTGTAATACTTACGTTAACTATAGACAATAACGTATTAGACATCTTTCTTTTTTTTTTTTTTTTTTTTAAAGAAAATAAAAAAAAAAAAAAAAAAATATTAGGGGGAAAAAAAAAGGTTTTTTTTTTTTTTTTTTTTTTTTTTTTTTTTTTTTCCCCCCCCCCCCCCCCCCCCCGGGGCCCACCCCCCCCCGGGGGGGGGGGGGGGGGAAAAAATTTTTTTAAAAAAATTTTAAAAAATTTTTGGTTTTTTAAAACGGGAAAGGTTTTTTTTTTAAAATCTTTCATTAAAATAGTTATAGGTGATTGTTTTTGACATGTAAAAAATAAATTTCAATACATTCAAATCAAAGGCTTATAATCCACGTAGTGAACACAGTTAAAAACAAACCACGCACGACTGGCAATGTTCTCGCCAAAGATAATTCGAATTTGGATGCGGCGCGTAATAAAATCCTTAAATTAGTGTATAACAAGGTCTGTTTCAACTTTGAAACTCAGCGCGCTGGGTGCGATATCGGGACGGGCGTGACACTTATTTACGATGAGTTTTCGCGGCGGGGGATGCCGCGCCTAATTTCTCGCCGCGACGCGGTCTGCGATTCGTTTTAAATTAAACTCCTCCATCGCACACCCCGCTGCGAATACATCAATAATTCGCTTAAGGGCCCTAGATCAGAGTTGCCGAATACTAATTAAGACAAAACGCTCGCAAAATTATGTCACGGCACGTCTGTTGCCGTCATTTTATGATGTTTAACTATAATTAAATATGACATTTCTATACGAAAGATATTCAATTAACAGGTTTAATTGCAAAGGTTTCGTGTACTTGTTTTTTGACGGTGTTTTGTGTTTTCGCTGCATTAGATTTCAAAAAGGGCCGTTTTTTTAAATAAAATTACATAACGCCAATCCACCTCATCCCTCGTTCCGCGTAATCAGCTAAAACTAATTCCGAATCATCGCGCCACTTCTTCTAAACTTCGATCAGAATTTTCACGGCGTCTCCGGCTCAGTTCTCGAATCGCACGGCCGCAAACTCCCAGACCACATCACGTCAACTGTGACAGAATTCATTACGGATGCGTCACGGGACGTCACCTCGGCCCGTCTCATAATTACCATCGTTGAACTTTCGCCACAATCGCTCGAAACAACTGTCGAACTTAATCGATTCGCGTCAAACCACGCGCCTCGAGGACCGCGCCCGATCCGTCGACGTAACGAGGCGAGATTTATTTTAGCGGAGCAGCGTTTCATACGTGACGAGTGTGCTTTATAAGGTAATTGAATGAACGCCTCGTCAACTGTTTTAAAGGTATAATCGCGTCGAAGTTATGCTGTGTACGGACATGTCTGTCGATAAGTGTATTATGTGTTAAGTCTCTAGTTATATGTTAAAAGTATGTTATATTTATACCCTTCCATAATAATATGGAGACTACAAAGAACTCAACGCGCGCACCCTAATAAAATACAGGCGAATTATGCCCAACTATGCTCGTAGGCGGGACGATTTGTTAGCGCAAATCCCACATGGGCCATGGTCTATTAATTTCCCGGCTCTTCCTCCACTTAATGCGGCCGTAATAGCAAGGTACGGGCAGATGACGCGATAGTGATGTATTGGATTACAATTATCATATCGACTCTTAGATCGGGAGGGCTTTATCGTCTCGATAATATGAGCAGCTGAAGCTCCGAAAATAAAAAGACACTTTTAATGAGGAGAACGGGCCAGTATGTGAGAATTGGATAAACGGGTAGCCCCTATCGCGTTTCGAGATCGGAGGATCGTTTTATTCGTCTCATAGGTGCGTTTTATAGTTTTATAGGCCGAGGTGTTTTGATATTACATATTTTTAGATAATGTGCCAATTATTATGGTAATTTGACGGTCTTAGATCTTAAACGACCGCTAAAATAGACGAATGAATCATAAATTAATGCAGGTCAAAAGAAGAGTTATGTTGTTTATGTTACCTAATACCATTGGTAAACTAGCGTTACTTAGACCGTGTTATTTTCTAACAATACAATTAAAAGTGTACACGAGATTAAATTTGCGACGACAACAGAACTCTCGCTCGCGCTAAACCAGTTATGCAAAGACTGGCGATTGACAAAAGGAAATTTAATCCAGTAGGGCACCGGCTCCGAATTCAATTACGACGGGAGGATATCGTGAGAGTATTGGACAAACATCGATGCGAAACGGGCTTGACTCGCCGTGGACTGGCGCGGAGGTGTCAAAACTCGTGGCAGGCAATTGACACAAGTTGGCCCGACGAGGCGCGTGAGAATATTTGAACAAATAACCCCACAGTTTATCTAGCACCGGTAATGAATCATTACTTTAACGGTCATCTTAGCACTCGGAAAATCGAGTGCCGTGCGTCGACCCCGACTATTTACATACAAATCTATTAGACACCGGAGACATTACCCGCTATCGCGATCGGACATCACATTTTTCATATCGTCGAGCGATAAATAATCAAAATATCGATATATTATGCGACACGAAAATAGATGTCATACGATATCGGGGCTTAATGTGAAACGTCTCAATATACGCGAATATTAAATACGTTCTCTAGTTTTATAAGTGTGAAAATGACAGAATCGTCTGTTATAAACAGTCGCAGATGTTTCTGAATGGAACTTAAAAAACATGAACTGACAAATATCATATTCACGGTTTATAATTAATGTCCTTCTTTGCCAATTCATTCTATATAAATTAGCGGCAGCTGTAAATTATGCCACGATTTTATGCCAAAACACATAGACAGGTACCGGCATTCTATTTAAATAAGTTTGCTTCTATGAGATATTGTAGGCGATAAGTTCTGCATGATTCTAACACTAGAATGTTGGGAGAGAGCCCATAACACGATCACAAAATACGCTATTAATTTTAATCACGTTATAATTTACTGATATCCTCTGAATGTCCTGAGCTGTTTTCTTATATCATAGTGTTGTTGACCAACAAATGTTTAGTATTATATAATATTCGCTGAAAAAGAACTATAGTTGACCTATATCGCTCTAGTGACCATGGCTGCTTCAAAGCATGTGAAACTGTGCATGGAATTCAATACAACAAACTACAAACGATACTAAAATATATAATATACGTTACTGTCATTTTAATATTTTTCTAGTTATTACACAATTATATGACGATTAACATCTTTTTGAACCAAGCAGATCAAGTTAACACCTACAATGATATGAAATATGTTTAACTACCGTCACACGAGGCCAATATATATAAACGTCCGCACCACACCCCATCCGAGGTACACAAACCTATAAATTAGTGGATGTCGATGCATTAACCGCGAGTTTCCTAATGTTTAATTTTGACACACGCCGCGTTTACTCGCGCTCGTTAAATCACATAATTATTCATAATAACGAGCCTGTAAAGTAAATATTGTAGAATTTACGAGCGACGACACTAAAACGGCTGCTTCGTAAATATTTTAAAGAGACGATATCTCTCAGTGTGTGCCGTATAACATAAATACGTCATTAGGATAGATTTTGTTGAGCACAAGTTTTTGTCGAGGTCCCATCTTTTTGACACGACAAAAACTGATGTTTAAGTTAATGTACAGTGAGACTATGTCTACAAAAGTTTAAAGAAGACTTATTTCATTTAGTAAATACCACAAAACAATTTTTTAAAGTGTAAGTAAAAGAGCCAGAATTGAATCTTTATAAGCTCGAACAACTTGACGTTTCTAACTAATAATAATAATAATAATAATTTATTTGTCAGACTATAAATCCATATATTAATTTAAAATAATTAATTAAATCTAATGTGTGTTAGTTGGGTTAGTAACAATTTTTAACTTAAAATGAATATTAGAATGTGTTAATCACTAAAATGCAAATATTGTATGTAATAAACGAATGCAAATATTACAAGCAATTAAAAATCGTCGCTGAGATTAAAATTTATTCTGTTCAAATAGGCGCGTCGACGATGAACTATGTTATATATCGATGTAATTTGTATCGTATGCAATTAAGACGTCATCGAAGTGTTAAGATTTATAACTTGTAATTAAACACGCCTAATTCTAACATGCATACTGATCAGGTCGAGACCAAACAATTGGTAAATTTCTTATAACGGTTCGTGACGTAAAATATTGGTTTTTCGCTGCGGAAACATTCATTTAAATAGTTTACTAGTAGTTTCGCTTACATTTTGAATGCATGATTTATAATAGTGACACACGACTAACTAGGAAAATCTATACGTTCATGATAAGGAAACTGGTGTCTTTATTCATATTTCTTGATTTATATAACATTATTGAGTTACTTGATTAACTACGCGACTGAGAGACACGTTTGAAAAACTATAACAATAATATATAAAACATACTTCAACCAAATAGTTAACTATGTTCCTGAAAATATTATCAGGAACATCGTTAACTACTACCTTAATCAAGCGTGTTAACGTTGGCACATACAATAATATCGAATATCTTTAGCTAATTTTGTTTCCTTAATGCGATGAAAAGTAATGATATAATGTCTGAAAATATTAATAATTTTACAATGAAAGAAAATAAAACAAAGATATACCTAATTACCAAGACACTTAACGCCCCGCCTTACTCAAGCAATATTATGAACGATAATATTTGCTCGCCGTCTTCTCTTTCCTCTTGTGAAATCAGCAAACTGAGAGGCCAATGTGGCTCTTTTCTTATTTCAGTTGTTCGCTTAAATGCCTTCAAATGTACAAGACAAGAACAAAACAGTTCGCTAAGTGGCGTCTTATGCTTTTGGGGCAAATATTTGTACAAACACAAAGCGCTCGTCCACGTCAACTGCAAACGAACTGGCTAGCGAGGATAGCGTCTTGCCTTGTTTCTAATGGCTAACTCTAATTTAATGCTATTTGCTGGGATAAAAGGAATTAGACAGTGTTGGAGTACTGCAAATCCCATTTGTGCCCCTCTTACCGTTCCTAATTATAATTATACTCTAAAAACATTTACGGTTTATTTGCCAAACAAACATTTATTTGCCAAAAAGTGTATTCTAAATTAGTATTAGAATACACTTATTATCAAAATACGAGAATATTATGTAGTAGTAGTCTACTACTCATTTTCATAACTTATCAAGACAAAGTTGATAAGTTGGAATTTTAATATGGAGCGAAGAGCTAGAAGAGCTTACATATGCGAAGAAAAATAATTACAGAAAGTATTATTTAAATATAACACTGAAAATTATTTTTAACTACGGCCCGACGGCTTTGCTGCGGCTGTAAAGCAATCAAAACGTCGAACTGTAGAAAAAAATAATGTTCATATAAGTTTAACTAATATATTTCGCATTTTAATCCGTTAAAGTGTTTTATTTAAATGTGTACTCCTCGCTTATACTACAGAAAATATGATATATAGTTTGATTAAAATAATATAAGACTCAAAATTAATTTTAATGCTTTACGTAAATGAAAAAATCTTTATTGTTAATTTTCTACACTCAACTACAAAAGCAGTAGTCTTTTATGACATGTAAATCTTTAGTGTAGGTATTGCTAATCGCAGTTATCATTAAAATCTACATTCGTCACAGAAGGAAACAAACTCTAGCACAATAAATGTCGCCAAACTTAAACAAACGCACACGGTCCCTCTCAATTCTCGGGGAAACAGCAATATCTCAAAGCGATGCACTCCGCCCCGCTCCTTTCTTCCGGACAATTTCTATTACCATATAGACGCTACTTTTCAATTCTTTTCCATTAAACTCGGTGCATCGGCGTGCGTACCGTCTCCGCTTCGCTTAGGAAACACATTTATAAAAATACTCCGCCTCGGCCACCGCAATCCCCAGTGATTCCCGTTCTATTGCGAATTTCAAAGTAAATTTTCAGTTCCCCAACTGGGAAATATTGCTGTGGGTCATTGCAGTTGTGGACTTTAACGGAACTTATTGTGTATTTCAATTAGACTGAGCTTAATGCTTAAGTTATAAAAAATATACATAATTATAGTACTTAAGTAAAGGTTGAGAAATACATTTAATATCTAAATGATAAAACAAAAGTAAAACATTTGGATAAACTAATTAAAGACTCATTGATGTTGCAAACAAATACAAACACATATAGGTGTGTATCAAAATAAACCAAATGTTTGTAACATCATCAACACCAGCCAACAAAAGCTATCTATAGATAGCGTTATTGACTGCTCATCGCATTAACTGATCGCGACAGCTGTTACAGCAAAGGATTAAAATTCACAATTTGTCACCCAACAATAACAATATTCATAAGCAAAACATTCCCCACAATGAGCGCTGCAATAACGCAAGAAACACATTCATAACAAAGACGTCCCGGTAGCCGTAGGACAGCATTTCTAAACATAAATAAGGACCGTTTTGTTCAACAATAGAAATCAGACGTCGTATATGGAATTCAATTCAAAAGCGCCGAGAAAAAATCTATTTATCAAACAGTAGATGGGCCCCGAGATAAGCTAGCCGAGTCTATTATTACCCCTTTCAATCCGATTCCGTGTAAGTTTCTATTTCGAACCACCTTGTGTACGTCTTTATAACATACAAACAACGGATGAAACACACAAAGAGTTTATCGAGCAGGTCTTCTATTCGTGGCGTGATTTCTCCGCTCGATAAGCGAACTTTAAATGGTAACATTTCTCGAATATTGCATCCAGCGACGTTCCTAATATTATCTGTGTCATCGACAATTCCAAGTGCGGTTATCTCATTTTGGGTTGATATTTTACATTCTCACAGCAAATGGTGTTTTATCATTATTTTATTCCCACGTTTTAAGTTTGTATTTATTTTCATATCTTTCCATCTAGTCTTTATTTTGATGACTGTTACAATAGGTTGTTGTTGAAACTTTTATTTATAAACGTTGAAAAGGAATATAAAAAGAACGAAATTCGATTTTTAAAATAATTTGCTTTCTGCCTTCCGTGACGTGTTTCTTGCAAGATCACAAAATTCGTGTTCAGTTTATAAAACTTGAATTTCATGTCAATTTTAGAAGCAAACCTCCGTCTATCAATAGCAGCCTTGCTACCTCTATATGTACAGTAAAGCTACGGCCCTTAAGCTTCGCAAAATGAATTCCCATCGAAACATGTATTAATTAGTATCGGAATTGTTGTATCTCGCGCTGATAAGGTCTCGTCGGACGTAATTCATGTTGAGGCAGGGTTTAGCGAGCACGAACGCTCCTCACGATCGGACCCCGTGATCGAAACACATCCACTTAC